CAAAGAAGGATAGTTCTCACATGGGCTGCCTTTGGTAGATTGAATAACATTTTCAAGTCTAGTATCCCAGTTTGTTTAAAAAGCAAGGTTTTTGACCAGTGCGTTTTGCCGGTTCTTACATATGGTGCAGAAACACTGACTCTGACAAAAAGAACAATAGATAAAATAAGAGTTACACAACGCGCTATAGAAAGATCAATATTAGGTATTACCATCAGAGATAAAGTAGGTACCAAACCTAGAAATAAAAAGAAGAACAGGAGTCACAGATGCAGTTGAAAAAATAGCCAGGGCTAAATGGGTTTGGGCCGGACATGTTGCCAGATTAACGGATGACAGATGGACCAAAAAGATTCTGGAATGGCGACCAAGGCAAGATGCATATCAAAGCAGAGGACGACCATCGACTAGATGGACGGATGATATCAAGCGCATCACCACAAACTGGATGCAAGAAGCTCAAGACAGAAATAGGTGGAAAATTTTACGGGAGGCCTACGTTCAGCAGTGGACAAACATAGGCTAATTGATGATGATGATGAACATCTGTGGATAAATATCTATGATAGATTATATTATAATCAACAGAGATATACATCTACCTAAAATAATCGACGTAAGATGACTTAACTCAGGAGATGTTGTCAGCGACCATAGCCTAGCATTATGTAAAATAAGAATAATCCTGAAATATATCCCACCCAAGAGAGCGGCGCCAACACAAACAAAAATCAAAGTCGAAGGACTAAATACGGAATCGAAGGAATAAATATACAGGAAAAGAATATCAGAGAAGATCGTTGGGAATGAAATATTAGAAAACGATAACATCGAGGAAAGCTGGGAAAAACTCAAAAATAATATAACTAACGCAGCAACAGAATCACTTGGAGAGCGGAAAGTAACGAACACTAACATATAAAAAAAGAAAACACAATGGTTTAGAGAGGAAGTGAAGACAAAATGTGAAGACAAGAAGAAAGCATTTTTGGAATACAGAACACAACAAACACAACAGACATACAACCACTATAAACCAATCAGAAATGTCACGAATACTTTAGTTAGACAAATAAAAATGAACACTGGCAGAGTTTCTCAAAACAGATAGAACATCAATGCTATTAAATGTGAACATCAATCTTATATTAAAAGTAGAGAATTTGATGGATCTCAAATATGTAAACACGCATGGGATAATTAACATAGGATCCAATGGAATGGTTCAAATATAGTCCTAAAAGAAACTGATGGTGAAAAGAGAAAAATCAAAGAAGCGGCTCTAATTATGCCAAATGAGACCAATTGTGTCGCAAATTCCTCCGCAGAATGTAGTAGGATTTGGTTACCCATACTGAAAGAGGAAGTTATTAAAAGGAAAATACCGGTATTAGTAAATCAGTAACATAGAGGATACATCAGTTATTTTTTTTACTAAAGACACCGAAGTGTACTTACATTAAAGAGGTCAGTAAGACCAATTATCAATTTGTTTCTAACTTAAATTACTAATGAAAACTTAAAATTAGGTGTCTACTCACTAGTATCTTTCCTATTATTTCTAATAACTAGCATTAAATTTAGCATGCATAGTCGCACAACACTTTGCTCTGCTTTTCACTCACACTTCTTCTTCTTTAAGATCCATCTTCTATCGAAGGTTGGAAATCATCATTGCTATGCGGACTCTGTTGACTGCCGCTCTAAAAAGTTCTGCACTACTGCATTCAAAACCATTCCCTTAAGTTCTTAAGCCAGGATATTCTTCGTCTTCCCACATTTCGCTTTCCTCGGATTTTGCCCTGCATAATAAGTTGTAATAATGCGTATTTTTGCCCTCTCATCACATGTCCCAAGTACTCAAGTTTTCGTCTTTTAATAATTAATATTATTTCCGCCTCATTTCCTATCCTTCTAGTTAGTTCCATGTTTGACATTCTTTGAATCCATGATATTCGTAGGATTCTTCTGTAACACCAAAATTCAAAGGCGGCCAACTTATTCAGATGAACTTGTTTTAGTGTCCAAGCTTCCAAACCATAAAGAAGAGTAGAGAACACGTAACATCGAAGCATTCTCAGGCGTAGTTCTAACCTTATATCCCGACAACAAAGAAACTTTTTAAGTTTAATAAATGATGTACGTGCTATTTCAATACGTGTCTTAATTTCTTTGGTTTGGTGTATATCTGATGTTATCCATGTTCCTAAGTATTTATAGTTATTAACACTCTCAATTGCAGTATCTTCAATAGTCAATTAGATATTTGCATGTGCAGATTTAGTCATAATCATGCATTTAGTTTTCTTTAAATTTATCTTCAGTCCGTACTCATGACAGCGTTCATTAAGGCGTTGCAAAACGTTCTTTAAATCATTCTCACTCACTCACTATACCAGTTCAAAAGGCTTTGTCCTTTTGAGCCTTCTCTTTAGGTTCGTATTGTCGAGGAGCTGGATAGCCTCGACGTTTACATGATGATGGAGTCGTTGTTCATGTCTTCCTGCAAATTTCTTGATTATCTGATTGACGTCTTCCATCTTGAGGTCCCGGTGAAGATCGTTGTTCCTAACGTACCAAGGCGCATCTACGATGTTTCTCAGCACTTTATTCTGGAATACCTGGATTACTTTGATGTTACTAGGCACAGCCCAGAGTTGGCAGCCATAGATCCATACTGGCCTCAGTATTTGTTTATAGATTAGGAGTTTATTATTTGTGGATAGAGAGGAATGCCTTCCCATCAACCAATATATTTTCTTGTAGCGGATGCCTAGTTCTTCCCTTTTCTTCTTTACGTGAGCTTTCCAGCACATCATGTATGTTTTATAAATAACAAACATATAAAATCAGAAATTGGTGTTTATTGAAGGTAAACTAAATGCACGACCAAATAGTTACCATGTCGGGATAGTATTATGATGTTTTTCCTGGATTTTCCCTCTTAATTTACTAGGGAATCACTAACAGGAGAATTCTACTGTCATCATGGCATGTGTTTGTCTTTTTAAATACGAATTACATGCTATAATTTTTTCTGACACATATCCTCAAGTGAAAGATGATTTCATATAATCGAATGAACTACCTATTTTATAAGTAAAGTCGTTCCAGGAGCGCAACTTAACAATATTGGCAATATCATTTTAAAGTCGTCTACTTTAAACTGTATAATGTAAGTCTGAATTGTCACTATAAATGAGTTAGATAAAATTAAATTATTAGAAGAATTTTTCACTAAGTGACAAAAAAAACAAAATTTGTTTAATTTACTAATGTTTGTCCACCCACCCAAGGCCGATTCTTCAGCTTCTTGGGTGGGCAGCATTTGGAAAACTGAGAGAAACTTTTAAAAGTGAGCTGCCCACATGCCTAAAGAGAAAGGTATAAGGAGAAAGGATCAGTGCGTCCTCCCAGTCTTGACGTACGGAGCAGAAACACTTACCTTAACAAAAGCAGCAGCTACCAAACTGAGAGTTACGCAGAAAAGAATGGAGCGGTCCATGTTAGGAATAACTCTGCGAGACAGAATAACCAACGAAGACATCAGGAGAAGAACGGGAGTGACTGATATCATCGAAAAGATAGCCAGACTAAAATGGAGATGGGTAGGACACATAGCCAGAATGACAGATGGGCGATGGACAAAGAGGTTATTGGAATAGACGGTAGAAGATACTAAATAGACAATTTTGGACACTCGGTAAATTTAAAATACCTAAGAAACAGGTAAAGCAAAACTTAGAGTGTACCAATTTTTTAATTTGCGGTTATTAACAATTTATTTATTATGACAGAATCTATCACAATGCTTACTTAAGTCAAAGGTCATTTTATAGTTTTTATCTGCCACGAGATGCAGAGTCCAGTGATCAGTTTGAAAATCTCTTCAGATCTATTTCAAAATCCTGGTTTTGTAATAGTAATGAGTTTGTACCATCTATGAGACGAGTGCATGTATTATGTATGTGTATCCAATAATAGTACCTAACTACCTGTGAGACGGATTATTGGTACCTAATGATACCGATTAGGTACTTATAATATTATTTAATATTTTTATAATCGTCTTCATTTCACTTCATAATAAGTGTTCAAGCGATTATTTCATAGGTATAGAAGTTTAATTTATATCTTTATTTTATAATCAATAGCCTACTTCCTACAAAGCTTTTTATGTCTTTGAAAAACTCAAATTGTCGATAAGGAAGTTTCTTATAGACTAGGTCATAAGACATCGAATCTTAAATACCTAAAAAACAAGCCTTATTGATATGACGCAGGTAACCAAACAAATCAGGTTTATTATCAACAAATTGAGTTTAATACCTTGTCCATTTAATAAACATATCTGAGCATATTCGCTTCTATCTGTAAAGACACGTGTGACAATAAGAGTCTAAGAGCACAAGGTGTAAAGTGGGTTTCCATGTAAAAACCGGAGCATCATTCGTCCGAATCAGAATACAAATGATGAGAGCGATTCATTCCGACAAACACCTTGTATCCAATAAATTCAGTTAGCGTTTTTGTTGCTCTGAAGTGGGATTTGTCCGGATCTATGGAGCCCCATAAACAAGATAGTCACGCGTGTTTTGCCCCCTCCATTGGCACGAAGGCGGGAAGACACTCCCTAATATAGTCAGCAAAATAGTGGGGCACCAATGTCGGCCGACGCTGCGCCGTAAGCTCCGGCTTTTCCATGTAGTTGTTGGTTGTAACGTTTGTCAACACCCCAAAGTGCGGGTGAAGGGGGCAGACCATTTCCGTTTGATTCTCCAGTCGCTCACGATCCCAGTCGCTATCAGATCGCCTCGGATCCAACCTCGCAAAGCGTATATTCTTTATTGATGAGACGAACGAGGGGTAATTTTGGACACACCAAAGACAAAATTAGTGTGATTGTGCTTATGAAGGGATTACATTTTGTGTTGTGAGTGACTGTGTTAGCTATTACGGACTATTATCGGTATTTTAGACTATTAAGACAATTTAGTGAGATGGCAGCCTATGCTCAATTTGGCTACTCTTATCCGACGGCATCACAGGTATTTAGAATATTTTTTATCTTTATTAGAAATTATTTTTACATGATAACAAGTAAACTCAATTGTTCATTCAAGGAATATCATATGCTAAATTGAAAATGATTCTTCTTTTCTTAATATTTTGATTAGGTACCTATCTGTTTATGATTACATTATAGATAACAAGATAACTCTAGTAGTTGTATTATAAATATGATCTTATAATAAAACATATCATCAATTACCAACTGCATAAAAATTTGAACTTATTCAAATTTTAATTAATACAATTTTCGGTTTCATGCTTTTATTTCTATTTTTTAACTGCATTTTGATAATTGGAATTAAAATAGTTTGAAATATGTAGTCTAAATCATTATACCAGCTTTTAAAACTTAAAAGCAAAACAGGTTTAACAGATAGGTATCAAAATATATACCTAGGTACCTATGCCATTGACTTTTTGTTAAGGTGCAAAAAAGACAAATTAATTATTAAAGTATTTGGAATAATTTTTAATAATGTATACAACAAAAATACTTTCTTAATACACTTAATGATTGACTTTGTGTATCGTGTGAAATCAAAGACCTGTGCTATCATTCTTTTTTGTAGATTAAGTTAGCACCTCATCCCTTAACTCCTCATTTTTACTACTGAATTTAACCGATTTGAAGTATACTGTGTATCCCATCTTTTGTTTATAGATGTAGTTAGACATAATAATTTTAAAGTTATTACAATAAGACTTTGAGAGTGTCATATGGGTGTTATATAAATATAGCTGTGCTATTTTTAGTTCAGCTATTGACTATATCATTACCAATTGGTATTATTTATTACATCTCAATTTTTATGTTCAGTTTTTGACTTTGAAGCTTAATATGGTAACACAAATATTTTTGATTTCGTTTTTAATTTTTGTAACATTTGTAATTGTTAATGTACTTTATCATTTCGTGTCAATCAAGAAGAGTACGTACTACAGATTACTTACTTGTTCGTTGTTCAGATCCATTAAGTACCTATACCGTTTTCCAATATTTCTTTTGGTGCAGATCTATCGTCGAATCTTTCTAGATCTTATTTCACAACTAAATACAAATTTAAGCTGCTTACGGATACATATCCTTGCTTTATTTTGTTATCCTTATTTATTTTTTTTTATTTTCAGTAAACCATGTTATGCTCCATTAGGCCATTATACCCCTATCTGTTTTTATCTCCTTTTATCAATTTGGTGAATTGTGTCCGATGTTTTATTGTAACTATTAAGCTGAAGCTTTCAGTCCTTCAGCCATTGTTTTATTTACAGTCATGTCAAGCAATAGTGATGAAGTAACATTTACTGATCATGGATTTGGATCCCAAGATCCATTAGACAGAGATCATAAGGCTTCCTATGATCTTTCTCTGCCGGAGAGTTGTAAAAATCGGAAAACCTCCAAAATATCACTAGTTGCACTCCAAGACCCAGACACTTTAAATAAAGTTTCTTAAGAAATTAACAAGTTCCACGAAATTAGACTAGAAGATACCAACAACTTAAATGATTGCTAAAAACAAATGAAAACAATAATAGTTACTGCATCTTGAGAAAATTTTAAGATAAGGGACAATTAAAAATGACTGGATGACACATGACTTCTTAAATCCAATGTACGTTCAAAGGCAGAACAAATCCATAAACAGAGAACAATACAATAAAATACACAAAGAAATCCGAAAAATAATTATTAAAGTAGCAGAATACCGATGGCTACAAGAATCCTTTTTAGAAATTCAGAAACTGTAGCAACGACACCAAAGCTTGCATTTACATGTTAAACTAAGAGAATTAACATGCAAAAGCAGAATTTACAGGTAAAATATATTGCAAGACTTAGTTGGTAGAATTATAAGCGATAAGAGCGCTGCATCAAATTGGAAAATTACCTACTGGAATTATTTAAAGTTGACCAAAGAATCTACAGTAAGTACCATCTAACCGAGATACTGACCACCTATATTAATCTTAGAAGTTCAGAACACCATCGATAAAGCGAAACGAGGAAAAGATTCTGGTCCTGACAAGGTACCTGCAGAATTGTTGCAGCTATTAGATGATGAGAGTGTTGAAATTATCACCTTCTTCTTTAACAAGATGTACAGCAAGAAAATTACCAAACAACTGGTTAGAATCAATATTTATAATTATTTCCAAAAAAAGAAATGCCAGACATTGTAGTGACTTTCGACTTCTAAGTCACACGCTCAAAATTTTTATGAAAGTATTTCTGTCTCGCATATATAAACTTTGTGAGGGGATAACTGGTGATAAGTAGTTTGGTATATATTATTTGTTAATATTTTCAGTCCTTCAGCCATTTGTAGAAGTTTTATTAAAAGCAGTTAATAATATTCCTTGTTGTGTTGTCAAAAGATAGGTTAAGTCCAAGTATTATTAGAAATACTAATTTATTCCTATACCATATACCTAAAGGTATTACTTTAACCCTAGAAGTACAAGGTGAAAACGGTGGAACGATTTTCACAAGGTGGGATCACCGGCGACCCAAAAATATTTTTCAAAATAAAAGACTTATTATATTTAAAGTTATTTATCAAAAAATTACTAAATGATTTGATTTCTAATCAGAAAATGTATTGCTAGAAAACAATATTCAAAACTAATTACAGATTGAGTCAAAATATAAAAGCACTTATATTTTTGACAAAAATACTTTTTAAGCTGTCAAAAGTAAATTAAAAAACAACTTAGGAATTTAATACTTTATTCTTATATTATTTACAATTTCCACAAATACTAAATTGGTGTTCTGCACACATATTTTTTTCGCAATGGCGGCCTTTTTTTCTATCGTTACTTCTTGGACAATAATAACATCGACAATTTCGTTTCTGAGGATTTACAGTGGGTATTTTGGTTGGATATCTTCATTCCTTGCCTCAGTTTTTCGTCAGAATGTTTCAGTCTGTACAAAACTATTGTATTTACTCCACCTCCGTCTAAAATCCCATAAAAAAACTTTGCATGACAGAGTTGATCGAAGGTATCGATGCACCCTTAGTGCTGTTGTAGAATAGAATTATTTCTGTTTTTTGATAATTTACATCAACTTCATCTAGGAGGGCATAGAACTGATTAATCGAACGCATTTGTTTCGTTTTGGAACATGTGGTACTAGTGTCAACTTTTGCGTAAATGCAAATGCTGAGGACGGAATATCTGATCGCTTCGTTTCCAAATATTGTGTAGATATTTTTTTTTTATCTAAGCGCTCCAACCATTGTTAAATCCTTTTCTGATCATTTTTCGGCTAATTCACAAGAAGAAAACCAGTGTAGCTTTAAATACTGGGCAGGAATTGAACCTTTCTGCGGATCTCGCTGCTCTTTACCAATAAATGACACAGCAGAACACATATAGCTTGTTTTTGCATCGCACATCATCAAAAGTTTTAAACCATACTTATCAGGCTTGCTGGGAATGTACTTTTGAAAAAGGCACCTGCCATCTAAAGCCCAGCAGTTGCTCGTCTATTGTTAGATACTCTGACCGAGTATAATTGTTTTGACAACCTTGAATAAAGATATCCCATATTTCTTTGCTAGTTGCAAACTTATCTAAAGCCTTACGTTCTGCGCGAGTGGTTTTATCGTCGAAGCCTAAACACCTTAAAAGAAAGTCAAAACGGTTTATGGACATAGTGCATCTAAATATGAGAAAACCAAATTTTTCAGACCACATATCTATTACAGAAAGATGGGCATCTTTTAAAACTCCAGCAAAATATAAGGAGCCAAAAAGTACTAACAACACACTTTTGTTCGTTTCCTGAATATAGTATTGTTCTACGGTAAATTTTGTTTTGATAATTTCTATTTCTTTATTTGTGTTATTCAAAATTATTGTAAAAAAAATATGTAGCTTCCCTACTTGGACCGGGTAGATGAAGTTTTTTTTTTAGTTCTGGTTCTTTTAGTAATTATAGGTTGTGTAAAATAAATATAATTATTTCGACCTAATAATTTCGGGCAGTTGTCCCCTTCTAAATCTTGGTCTATGGCGTTTTGATACAAATCAACATCACCCTCTTGTTGCAATTCTGTCAAATCAAATATATCTTCAAAATGGTCGTCCAGTAATACATAATCTTTGTCTTAACTTTCACCAAAAGAACATTATTCTTTACCACTGGAATCATCCTCATAAAGGGCGTTCCACAATTCTTCTTGCGTAAGAGGACGTTTATTTGGATCCATAGGGGTGTTGTAATTAAAAAAAGCTTATAAGCCGCTATAAATATTAATACTTGGAAATAACTTAGCGATAAAAACTTATTAGGTACGTTAACCACATGGTGGGGCCAAAAATCGGAAATGCACTGCAGACACGATTATGTGAAATACTGAAAGTAGATGGGCGGCCAACTTACAGGTTCATCAAAATAGAGAACCCACTTTGTGGTTCTAGGGTTAACAATCTATTGTTTTGGTATCCTATTTTTTTTGTTGACTGATGTTTATAATTGTTAATGTACTCTGTATATTGTTTTATGCCAATTAAGAAGAGTACACACTACAGATTACGTACTTGTTCATTTTTCATATCCATCATACCGTCGAATCATTCTAGATCGTGTTTCATAACTAAATACAAATTTCAGCTGCTTAAAGATATCTATCCTCGCTTTATAACAGTTTCTATTTGTTATTCATAGTACAGAAAAATCAATATTCCTATTGCTGTAGAAACAGGTATTTAAGCAGCAGCTTTCAGTTCTTTAGCCATTGTTGGTATAAATGTATATAAAGTATCTACTGTTCAAGCTGTCTCTATGTCTATGAAAGGGAGTACATATATTATTTACTGTTGCTAAATATAATATGTACTACATTGAATGGTACATTATTTGTAGAAGTTTTAATGAACTCCAGTTAATAATATACCTTGTTGTGTTCAAAAAGTTAAGTAATAGTATTATTAGAAATACTAATTTATTTCTATACCCTATACC